GTGAAGCCCAACCTATAACCTCAGCCTAGACACTCCAGATAATCCAAGTGATCCTTCTTCAGCTATAAATGAACTCTTCTAATCCATCTTGCAGTCCATTGCAGAATTGCTAGATAAGTTTGACCATTCTCCTTAGTTTGTATTTCACTTGCCCATTGCTTTTGAGGGCAGTTCTTAGTATTTTTTTTTATTCCTTATCCGTAGAATAAACCTCTTGAGAATTAGATGGGCAGAATTAAAGATCCTCAGGTTGGGGAAGAAGAATGTTGCAGCAATTAGCTGCAACACTTTTGTCACCGGGAATTTCACAGCCGCTTCTCAGCAGCACTGCACAGAAAATGATCCCTAAGTCATAAATGGGCTTTTTCAAAAACAAATGCTCCTGAATATGCACATGACTTTACTTCTACCTTGGCAGAGATTACTTTCAGTTAGATTTGACAAGGGGACTTTCCGTTGCACTATTCAGTCTCCTCCCCAAGGAAGTTCGCTAAATATTTCTTACAGTTACCACGTGCTAGAGCTTGGCATCTACCTCTGTACTGAGGCAGGAATTGTCATCTTTGTCATTTGCCTATTCAAAGAAAGAAATTACTGCTCTATGTTAGATCCAAGGACTTGTGGCAACCAATTTGGAAGAAGGGAAGGGGATTAGAGAGTCAAATGTGATGTACACAACAAGGAAACTCTAACGTGCAGTAGGGGCCAGATCAATCCAGTTTCAAATTCCAGGATTAAAAACAAATGGGCAGATCTTGGGCTGCAGGAACGCGTTGCCTTTGGCAGAGAGCTTCTGCCTTAGAAATTCTTCTTGCCTTTCTCTGCTCACTCTCTGGTCACAGCATTTGCTGCCTCTGCAGATACATCAGTGTGGCCCTGCTGTAAACTGGATCTCTGAGGCGACTTGGCGTAAATCTCTCTTCTTCCTTTTCCTTTCATTTATTTTCCTTTTTCTCCTGAGGTTATTTCCAGCCTAGATAATTTCAGAACGCAAACCAATAGCTGCCAGCGGGAGGAGGAGCAGTGAAGTGAGGCACTGGGAACCAAGATGTTTTGTAACACTGCCCTCGTCTGACCGAAATAATTACCTGATGTCTTAAACTGTGGACTGCTCTTCACCTCAGAATTAAATATAACTCGTACCCGATGCATTCCAATTCCACAAGCATCGCAGAGTGAGAGGGAGAGGGTGGGAATTGGAGACTGAGGGGCTTGAAACAACAGAGATGGTAGGGGTAGATAGAGGGGCAAGTAACAAATTTTTTCTGGGAGACAAGAGAAATTTTCAAGGGGAACAAAGTTTTGTGTGAGATGGAGGAGCAGCAGGTGAACTGAAAGGGAGATGCTTCAAAGGAGAGAGAATCTGGAAAAGGATGTGTACACATAAAGGGTGGCTGTGAGGCAAATCAAAGAAAGGACAGAACAAGAGTGTGAAATGGCTCCACCCTGAGTAGGTCTGGAACAGAGGATTTAAGCCAATGCTTTAAGCCATAGCAGGGCTATAATTTCTCAAATAAGGGAGCTATTTGCCCTGTCAGTATTGAAGGTTACAGACTAAATACTTTATCAAGCACAATCAACCCCAGTCTTTAGCAAAACAAAATACCCCGAATTTCTGTAAGTGACATTTGATGGACCATTATGGTAGAAACATGGAAACACAGAATGGTTTGGGTTGGAAGGGGCCTTAAAGATCATTCAGTTTCAACCCCCTGCCACGGGCAAGAAGACCTTCCACTAGACCAGGTTGCTCATAGCCCCATCCAGCCTGGCCTTGAACACTTCCAGGGATGGGGTAGCCACAGCTTCTCTGCGCAGTCTGTTCCAGATGCCTGGTTAGTTACAACTTGCTATTTTGGAATCATCACCTCTCACTCTCTCTAACTTTGGTTAATATTTCAGCTCATTTGGAAGAAACCATAGCCCTCCTACTTTAAAAGATTTGCCTGGAAGCAGCAGGGAAGCTGTGGCGCCACCTCATGTCAGTCATTTACCACAGAAAATTCCCAGCTGCTCCTTTCTCTTTTTGTGCCAGCTGAGTCCCATTAATTGTTGTATCAAGAGAGGTCGTGCACTGGAGTGTGGAGGGGACACTTACTGCATTGTCACGTGCTAATTTGGACAACCCTGAAAGATATTTTGACTCGTTCCCCTACTGCAAAAGGCCTGTCCTGTTCACTGCAGAAAAACAAAATTGCTGTGCAGCAACAACCCTGTTCAAGGCCGTGACTTGCCTTAAAACACAGCTGAAACCACTTTTTTCCTGCAGAGTCAGACCTTTATAGCTCAATCATGCGGGAAGGTTTCCTGCAGCTGTGATTTTTAAGGACTTCCCAGGTGCTTTGTGTCTCCTTTTCAGTGCTCGCAGAATCTATATAAACTGGGGAGGGAGGAGGTTTCTCTCTTACTGTTTTTTTGGTTGTATGTGCACCTTTTGGGCTAAGAGGTGCAATTATTTCAGCTTCCCTCTGTCGGAAGAGGCATCACCTGGGAGGACTAGTCCCTGAGACAGCAGGTGAGAATAAAAGCAGCTCAGGATTATTCTCTTTTTTTCTGTTTGCTTGGCTTTGCTTTTTGTCTTTTCGCCATGAACCTGCCTGTGGGCACCTTCCTTTCAAAACAAGGAAAAAAAAGGTTGAGTTTTGCTTTAGTAAAAGGAAATTACTGGGTTTGAGTGAACTGTCTGATGATTTTGCCTGTCTGTTGGTGGCTGCAAGAAGGGGGGGGATGCAGCCAGAGGAAGCAGATGGACATGGGGAATTCTGCCTCTGGTGAGGAGCATTAGTTAACACGATTTGAGAGGCATAGGTGCAAAAATTGGTGAATGACCAACTAGGGTATATTGAACAGAAATGCCACACAGCAACGCTTTGTGCAGGTTGAAACTCTAAGTTTTGGTGTTACTTGGCTCACAGGGGGGAGACTGTGCTGGAGAACCTGACAGGATTTCTGTAGGCCTGCTCTGGAGCTTGGCTGGCTATGACCCTCATGGGGTATACCACTATCTCTGTTTCCAAGGAATAACTTCTTTGAATTGTCAGTGTGGGGCAGAAGGAGGGAGCCTCCTCACTAACTTGTATCAGCAGCTGGGAATTAAGATTTGGGGTGGGGGTGCCCTCAGGCACCACCCTGTAAACTCAACCAGCCCTGCCACCCCATTCCAGAAAACTCTGGCTTCCAGCTTGGTCCCAACTCCTCCTGGCAGGGGTCTAGAAGCTTAAATTCAAAGTATTTGTCTTTCACTTTTCCAATTTAGATTACATACATTGGGGCTTTCATTTTTTTCCTTTAGTTAAAAAGACTGGAGGAGGCTAAAAAACAAGCTGCAACGGGTATTATGGGAATGTGGATGTCGCATGCTTCCCATGTTTCTTTGCCATTAAAATCTGGCATCCATATATTAGTGCATGAGGGCTTAACATGCAAAGGGAATATTGAAAACACTCCATCCTCACTAAATACCACACTGAGGTTGTAATTGTGCAGCATTCAGGGATCTCTTGGGTGAGAATTCCTGTGACTGAGTCTCATTTTTAGAACCTGATTGTGATCTGACCAGTTTTGTGTTTGCTTCTTTGGATATTATGCATTGAAGTAGTGAATGGTATTGCTACAGAGCTGAAAGGGTTCAGGACTGGTGGTAGTTTGCAAATATGCCTTTTCAGTGGATCTTATTAAATAAATACATAAATAAACAAAATTCCAAACTCCTTAGTGGTCACTATGTCTAGACTAGCATGTGAACTTGCTCTCTCCACCTAGTCCTGTTTGTCCACTTTCTCACTGGGGATGCTGCTGCCTGAATTTGAGGCAGTGAACTTTGGGTCCTCTGTGGAAGAGCATGTCTCTGTGCTGCTGGTTTAGATGGTGCCTTGTATAATGGTGTCCTCACCTGAAGGTTCATAGCGAATCTCTGTTAAAATGTTCATGATGCGTGTGGATGCGGCCCCTGGGGATAAGGTTTAGGGGTGATGATGGTGGTGCTGGATTGACAGTGGTGTCTTCCAGCCTTAATGATCCTGGGATTTGGTGTTTCTGGGGTTGTCCCAATGCAGGTGCAGCACCATTCACTTGGGCTCACTGAACCTCAGGAGGTTCTCCTGGTGCCGCTTGTGAAGCTTGTGCAGGCCCATCTGGATGGCCCCATCCTTTATTGTTTCCCCTGGCCTGCTCAGCCTCCTGTCACCTGCCAAGGTGCTGAGGGTGAGCTCAACCCCACTTTCTGTGTCAGTGGTAAAGACATTGCAGTGCCCTGGTCCCAAGGTCGAACACGGAGGGACACCCTTGACCTCGGCCTCTCCCTGGACAAGGACCACTGGCCACAACTCCCTGGCTGCATCCATGTATCCAATTGGTCATCCCCCGAGTTGCCCACCCTCCAAACCCAGGGCTCTCCCATGTGGAGATCAGGATGTCGTGTGGGACCGTGTCCAAAGCCTTGCAGGGGTCTGGGCACACCAGGGCCTGCAGGTCTGGGGGCTGCCCATGGCCAGGCAAGGCCTGTTCCAGATGGATCCAAGCGGTTCCAGCCACTTCCAGGTGGTTCCATGGTGGTTCAGGTGCCGGGGGTGGCCCTTTGTGACGCAGGGGCTGCGTCGTGACAAGAGGCCATTGTGACACCGTGGGTGGGGTCAATAAAGGGACGCAGAGCCCTGGGGTGCCCTCTTTTTGGAGAGCACCTCGCTCAGGAGGCAGCAGCTCCCTGAGAGCCTCTGAGGCAGAGGGAGATGGAGATGCTCAGGGAGAGGGCAAATTCCAACTCCCACCCTGCCCAGGAGCTGCCGAGCCTGTGGATGAGGCGCCACGTGAGGGCCAGGGCAGGAGCCCTGCCCTTGTGGGAGCGGGTGAAGGCAGCCCGGGCAGAGAGCCCAGTCCCAGCCCCACACAGTCCCTGCTGGCCCCCCAGTCCCTCTCCTCGCTGTTGGGAAGCCCTCAGGGAGGAGTGGGAAGGGGCGGTCGGGGGGGCAGGGCCACAGGTGGAGCAGTGGGCCTTGGCTGAGGAGGAGGAAGAGTGGAAATACTCCTTGAACCAAGAGCTGTCCCTGTGGGGACACGGGAGTGTCCAAAAGCTGTACCCACGGAAATATGAGAGATACCAGGAGCCTTCCCAATGTGAAGATGTGAGTTACCAAAATTTGCCACAATGGGAAGGTGAGGATTATGAAAAGCTGTACCGATGGGAATATGAGAGACACCAGGAGCCTTCCCAGCTGGGAGGTGTGAGATACCGAGATTTGTCACAGTGGGAGGATGAGAGTGTCCAAAAGCTGCACCAGTGGGAATATGAGACACACCAGGAGCCTTCCCAATGGGGAAATGAGAGTCCTCAGTGGGGCAATGAGAGTCTCCAAAGGCTGTACCAAAGGAAAGGTGGGACAGTCCAACAGCTGTACCAGTGGGAAGATGAGAAATACCAACAATTGTCCCCATGGGAAGATGAGAAATACCAAGAATTGTCCCAAACAGAATTTGAGATCTACCAAGAACTGTCCCAGTGGGAAGAAAAAAGGCAAGGGCTGTCCCAATGGGAAACCAAAAGAGATAGAGAGTTGTCCCAAGAAGATGACAGCAACAAAGTGCTTTACCAGTGGGAAGGCTCCATGGAGCAAGACCTGTTTGAAGGGGAATTCAGAGCAGACCCGGAGTTGTTCTATGAGGGAGATGACAGTGACAAAGAGCTGTCACAGGAGAACTGGGAACACATCCCAAACCACACCACCTGGGTCAAGCCCAAGTGCCCACAGCTCCTGCAGAACCCTCACCCTGCTCCCCAGGGGTCAGCACAGGCAGCAGCTTCTCCTGCCTGGTGGGAGCAGGTGAAGGCAGCAGGGGCAGAGAACCCAGGCCCTGCCCCGCACAGCCCCTGTTGTCCCCCCAGCCCTTTGCCTTGCTGGCTGGAGGCCCTCAGAGGGGAATGGACAGGGACACCATGGAGGGCTGCACTGTCCATGCCACAGACTGAGCAGTGGTCCTTGGCTGAGGAGGAGAATGAGTGGAAAGGCTCTTTGGACCAAGAGATGTCCCAATGGAAAGAGGAAGAGCTATCCCAAGCAGATCCCGAAGATGACAGTGATAAAGTTCTTTGCCAATGGGAAGACTCCACTGACCAGGAGCTGTCCTGGTGCAAAGTCAGAGGAAACCCAGAGCTGTCCCAGGGGGAAGTCAGCGAAGACATAGAGTTATCTGAAGAGGGAGATGCCAGAGACCAAGAGCTGTCACAGGAGAACTGTGAAGACATCACCATCTACACCATCTGGGTTAACCCAAAGTACCCAGAGCTCCTGCGACACCCTCACCCTGCTCCCCAGGAGTGGGCACTGGCAGCATCTTGTCCTGTCTGCGGAGAGCAGATGCCAGAGGCAGGGGCAGAGAGCCAGGTGCCCAGGAAACGTCCCTCCCGCTGCAGGCGGGTGCTGCGGGCTCTGCGCCGGCTGTTGCGGATCCCCTGCCTGGCGGGACGGCCGGAGGATTAGTGCCCACTGCCAGCAGCAGGCCGGGCCCCGGAGATGAGAGCTGAGCTGGAGCCTGCACAGCTCCCTGAGGGAGCAGCCTGGGCTGGCCTGCATGGCCAGGTGTTAGGACTTTTGGCAGAACTCCCAAGATAAGTAACAAACTCATAAAGGCAGCTCAGCAACTGCACTGAAATCAGCTCTGACTGGGTAAAAGGTGCTTCCAGCACAGGGAGATTGAACATTAATAAAAGATGCTGGTTTTCCATCTGTGCTCACCTGTGCGTGGTCCATTTTGGGAGCAAGACGGGAGCAGGCAAGAAACCAGAGATGGGAAACGTGACGGCTGCAGCATCGCTGTGGCCAAGACAGTCCCCAGTGGCCACTTCACCCACAGGAGCCTTCTGGGAACAAACACCAAATCCCAAAGGGCACTTCAGTCGGCTCCCTCAGCCCCTGTACCAAGCAGTTGTCGCCCAGGTGTTTTAGGAATCTCCTGGACCTCTTTGTATGAGCCGTGTGGTGTTCCCACTTAAAACCTGGCCAGCTGAATTTCCCCACAAGGACAAGGGTGTTGATTTGGAGGTGTCCCTTGGGTCTGTAAAGAATAATTCCTTGGTGTTGTCATCCTGGCTAGGTGCCCAAGAGCAGCCTCCCGCAGTGACAGCCCCTTCATTTGTTTGTCCCTCAGTCCTTACCCAGAGGCTCTCAGGTAGCAACACCAACTGCAGCGCTGGATATTCCAATCCCCCCATGACATCCAGCACTCACAGCAGTGCCCTAACTGTCCTCACCTGAAGGTTCACAGTGAACTTGCAAGGGTTGCAATAAATAAACTCTTTGAAAGGGTTTATTTGGGTGAGGTAATCTGAGTGATGCATTTGTGTGATCTTATAGTGCTGTAACAGAGCAAAGGCACATGCAAGGAATTGATGGTATTTAAGCATTTTGCTGGGGAAGACACCATCTGTCCCGTAGGAACAGGAAAGCTATTGTGGACCTGAATCTGCCCACCTTCCTCTGGTGCCAGTGCTGCACAAAGCATGCTTTTTGTATCTCTAATGCTATTCAGCTTAGCCGAAGTTACAGCCTGGGACCAGCCAGAGAATATAATTAAAGAATGCTTAGCTTCCTTCCCTCATATAAAGGTCATGTGTTCATATTTCAGTTACTTAAGTCAGCCTCCAGCGTTTCTAAACTGGTGTCTGGTGTTCTCTCAGTGCTGTGTGAACAATGGCAAAAGCAAAGCAGAATTAATTTTCAATTAATCTGACACATAACAGGGATTCGAACAATAAACAAGTATTAGAATGCTCGTTTCTCACTGTGTATGAGGTGATTTGAACTCTTTAGGCTTATCAGATTTTATTTGTAAAATTAACTGTATAATTCAGTGTTAGTAATCCCAGACAGTCAACACTGACTCAAGCTTCATCCACTTTTATTCCTTCCAAGTGGGGTATGCAGTGCATTTATTTGGAAAAAAAAAAAAAAATTGGAATTTAAACAGTCTCTTTCTCACTTTTAGAAGGTTTGGTTTTCTCATTCTACATTGTTAATCTTTAAAATACATAGGTTTTTTTTCACTTCCAAGCTATTACGTAGCATTTCTGACATCTGGAAATATCTGAATATTATTATTATTATTGTTAAATGAAGCCTGGGATTCCTGCATAGTAGCTTGCCTTTGGGAGTTCAGCTTTTAATTAAAAGAACAGCAATGTGAGGCAGTTGTGATAAAATCATAAGAACTGGCAGCACCTTTAAATGTTGAAGCCAGGTGAGGAAGCATTGTAAAGGAGAAGAAAACAGCATGGTAGGAGACTTTCCTGATGATGAAACCCCATGGGATTAAGGATGGATGCAGAGGGGAGATGATAGGTCACCTATACCCACTGCAAACACAGGAAGACTCAAATCTTCAGCCTTCAAGTCTACCTTGTATTCATGGTCTTTTCTAAGCTAATCCTCCCCTCCCCAGCTCCTTATCTGTTGATAATCTTCCTTTATCGTGATACACGTTTGAAGTGCACAGAACTTTTAAGGGCTGGGGTCGTGCCTGCACAGTCTCTGCCCTTTGCCAAGGAGATCCTTAGGGAAGATCCACAAGGCTCAGGAAAAAAAGCAGAGACTGTGACTGTTTATCAGACTGTGACTGTTTATGAGGAAATGTTGTCTAAATGATGATTCATTACTTGCTCAGAACAAGGAAATAGGCAAGGCTTGCTCCCTTTCCCAGAAGGGACCCTTAAGCCTAACACAAGAGTTTGGAAAAGTCCTGGCCATCAAAGAGGAATATAGTACGAGTTTGTCTATCAGAGGCGTTTTTTGAACACTGAACAAGGCCTTAGACAGCTACTGACAGCACTAAATCTGAAAAGGAGATAACCCAGCAGATATCTGGTTTAGCACTGTAGTGTAACTATGGGTGAGCTTTCCTGTCACACAGCTGGTGGTGTCCCTGGGTGCTGGGAAGAAAACTGGTGATAACTCACTGCTGTGACTCTTCTCTCAGCACAGAGAACATGAACAGGCATGTCCAGTCAGAGAAACAGCTCCATGCTCAGGGTTCACTGTGTTCAACAGTGTGGAGAGGTATTAATTCATGATCTGGCAGCTCATCTTACCTCTGCTTTTTGTGTCAAAGCTCTGAATTTCATAGCCTGTCATTCTGGATGGATGGCCAGAGAGTGTCCTAGCATGAACTGCACGCTCAGTTAGTGTAACCCAGATCTCTGGGTAAGAAATGAAGAGCTTGGGGAACAATGGAGCTTATATCCAGCTCTTATCTGATAATGGAAGTTCATTCAGTAAGAGCACCAAACACAGCGTGGGTAGGAGGGAAATCTCATTCAGAAAGACTGACCTAGTCCACAAGTGAATGGGAAGTGCATCATCCTTCAACTCCCCAAAGGAGTAGATTGCCTGGTAGTCAGGGAGGTGACCCTGCTTTTAGCCATAGGGCTTGCTGTGCAAACCAAGGTGGTGGTTCATCCCATCACCTCAGTCTCTTCCTTGTACTGCTGTGATCAGTGTGTGTGTGTGTGCTTTTTTACCCTCTCTATACTCTGGGACTAAACTTAAAATGGAGGCAATTTGATTTCACACAATAAAAAAACTAACAGTACTGTCTCATGGCAGTGAATTGTCCTGCACATTTGGTGAATTCACCTAGGCAGAGACTTAACAGTGGTTCAGTTACCAATTCCATGTAGTTTTTCCTACTAGGAAGATATCTGAAACTACCTCTGTCATTATGCTATATTAAGGCTGTTTCTCAATTCATCTTCCCCCTCATCACATTCTCTGACCTGTTTCAGGCTTGTGCTGCTTTTTTGGGGAGCTGTTGGCTTTGTGTTACCATCAGAGATGGGAGGATAAATGGCCTTCCCAGTCAATTCCCTCTCAAAGCATGTTTCAGAAGTATGTTTAGCTTTGATTGGGAGGGGTGGGAAGAGGTTCTCCTGTCTCTGTTTGACTCTGTTTTACTTTGAAGCCATCAAACATCATTGCCTGGCTTTGTCTGCCTGGAAAACTTGGGAGCCAGCAGGGGGAAGATGATGAAACAGGTATTTAAGGCAATTAAGGGGCAGGCTGGAGCACAGGCTGAGTTATCAATCATTGCAAGACCTACCTGGAGACATGAAAGGACACTGTGGGTACTCAGCACATTCAGTACACTCGGTACTTCAGCTACTGAAGAAGGGCTGTCTGGGGATTTCTTAATATTTCTTCTTTAGCTAAATATGCAATGAAGTAGATCAAGTTGTTAGTTCACCTGCCCATGTCTTATGTTTTCAGATAGTGCTCCAAATCAATACTCTGGAGGAAATGACAACAGGAAAATAGCTTTTCCAGAGCTCTGGTCTAATCAAAGCTCAGTCCCAGGACTAAAGCAGAAGGTGGACTGAGAATCTCAAAGAGACACACAGCATTTGACTTTGGCTTTTTTAAACAACTTCTCATGCAGGTGCAGTAATCCAAAATGAAAAGCTCAGCTTAGAGAAATCCAGAAGACAGAAGGGCTATAGGACTCCCCCCCCAAAAAATCTGTCAAGTTATCAGAGTACATCCTACAATGTCTTCATCTTATTCAGTAAAACAGAAATTGTGAACTGACTTCTATGGTGCCCGCTCTAAAAACTCTACCAACTACATCAATAACATTTGGATAACACTCAATATATCAGTGAGTCAACATTAAGATTTTGAAAAGATTTATTTTAGATTTATTTTACTGTTGATAGCATAATATTCTAGTCATTACAAATGGGTAAAAATGAAAAGTTCTACCTGCACCCAGTTTAAATTATTGGCTGCTGTCCTGTAGTTTGGAGCTGTGCTGGCCATGGAGCCCTTCCAGCCAGTAATGCTGATGACCTTGCTAATACCAATTAACTCTTCTAGTGGGTTTAGGGCACAAAACACTTTCAGAATGTGGCAGAGATCTGTTGAACTCAAACTCTGAGAAGCACCAGTTTAGGCAGAGAATGTGGAAAAAGGGAAGAAACTGAAGCAGTGTGTGGTGCCATGACCAGGCTTAGAAAACATTTGGGAAAATAGCCTGGGATATTTTCTTTTTCTGTAGAATCAACAAATTATTAAAAAAAAAGAAAGGAAAGAAAAAAAGAAAAAAAGGTCTATGTGATAGTGGTGCTTTTTAGTGAATCGTTTTCTGATGGAAGAGGTTTTGTGGTGTTGGTATTTGAGCAAAACCCCACTAGGTGTCCTCCGTCTGTTACGGTTGCTCTGAGGAGAGTTGTAGACTGAGGTGTGGGAAACAAAGCTGGAGCAGCCTGTTGCGGTTTGCAAGGTTTTGGGCTTCCTCCTCCTCCTCCAACATGCCCGCAAAACAGCACTGAAAGTTGGTTCTGACCCTGAGAGCATCCCTATGTCAGTAGCAAAGCACCTATCAAAGTTTCCATGCTACAATGAGACGCTTGAATGTAAGAGAGTGTGTTGTTCTGAACGTGACTTGGCACACACCGCAGATGTGTTGTGCTCTTAGAAGAGAATCACAGAATTAAGGCTGGAAAAGACCTCCAAGATCATCAAGTCCAACATTTGACTAAGTACCCCCACACCCACTAAACCATATTGTGAAGTGCCAAGTCTACTTGTTTTCTGAACACTTCCAGTGATGGTGTCTCCACTGCTTCTTCGGGCAGCCCGTTCCAATGTTTAACCACTCTTTCAGTGAGGAAATTCTTCCTAATAGCCAACCTAGACCTCTCCTGGCACAACTTGAGGCTGTTTCACTTTGTCCTG